TAGATATAGACGTAGAAGAATAAAGTTCTAGAATTAGATATAGATGTAGAAGAATAAAGTTCTAGAATTAGATATAGATGTAGAAGAATAAAGTTCTAGAATTAGATATAGATGTAGAAGAATAAAGTTCTAGAATTAGATATAGATGTAGAAGAATAAAGTTCTAAACTGTATAATCTGTATAATGTATAAATTTACATTTGTTTGTCTGCTATATAAATTTATTGAATACATAAAAAATACTAAATAAAATAATATAAAAAAATGCAGTGATTCGGTTTTAATCACTGGCGTTTGGAAACAAGTATATCCCAAAAGTTTATTTGTTAGTTTTTTTTTTTATTATTAGTTTTATTATTATTTAATTAGAAGAATTAAAACAACAGAATTTAATCCTCATTTAATAATCTGTTAAAGTTGTAAAAAACTAAAATGAGGTTTTTTACCTCATAACATAATCATAACTTACACCCTCATAACATAATAATAACTTGCACCCTCATAACATAATCATAACTTACAGAGAAAAAAAGATTATTCAATGCAATTTAAAACCTTTCAATGATTTTAAATTTAGTATCAGATAACAGCAAAAATCTTTTTTTAGATTCATTGCCCTCATTACTATTAATATTAATATTATTATTATTACTTTTTTTTTTTTTTTGGGGGGGGGGGGGCAGGTGGAGCTAACCTTTTAGGGTATTTTTGATCCCGAGTTTCTCTCATCACAATATTTTGCAAAACATAATTTGACTTGAGCATGAACATAACAATTTTGGAGCATTGGAAAATTATCCATTATTTAAACAATGTCCGAAAGTAACATTACAAATAAAAAAAAGTGGATTTTCCCACCCAGTTGATGAACCTGACCTGTTTAAACTAAAAAATAAAATAAAATATCATCTTAAATATCTATTTTATTCAATTAAGGCTTAATATCCACATAAATACAACGGTTATATTTTTGGCCAACTATTTCAATGGAATGTTCCCACTGTGCAGTGGTGTCTCTAATGCCCTTGTCTCAAACGCACATAAGTGAAAGCAACTCGAAAAGTCACTTAATATACGGTAATATATGTTATTCTTAATATACCATCAAATTAAATTTACTTTACATTAGGAGACAAGGACATTATAATCACACAAACAAATGTTGTTTAATTGTTATTGATGTTTCATTTTAAGATTTGCCCAAGTTCTATTAAATGATATGCCACCACAATGCTCAATGTTGTCAATGAAAGGTAAAATTTTATTCTTCAGGTCACATTTTTAGAAACAACATGTCTTGATTATGAGGTTAAACTAATTATCATGTTGAATCCGATATTGGGGCAGGAGTCAGCAGGCTCTTTAGCCGTGTTGAGTGTAGCTTACCTAGGATAAGAAACTTTTCCTGATATAAAACCCTGATATAAAACCATAAATTTTAGCATAATAATAAAACTTTATTTACTATTTTCATTGTATTGTTTTAGGAACAGTCGATAAAACAATGGTCACTTTATTAATAGAGGTGAAAACATCCATTAAAGATTTACAGCGTCAACCTGAACTCAACACCCTCTTTTTCAAACACTGCTGGATAATAAAAACAATTATGATGACAGTATGATTAAGGAATACAATCTTCCAATTGGTAACATGAAAGATTTAGATGTGTTTGATAGTTTGTTAAAGCAAGACTAGTCGATTTTCAACAAATTGGTAAGTGTTTTGATTTAAAAAAAAAAAATAGTCGGAAAAGTTCTAAGCAAAGTATTATATATTTTTACATATTTAATTATTTTTCTTATTTGATTTATATGCAAAGTGACACAATTTCGATTAAATGCAGTTAATTTGTTGAAATAGAGGTGATTGCTCTTGCTAGCAACGGTTGCCAGTCACCGAGAATAATTGTAAAAAGGGCCATTAACTCATTATTAACAAACGACCTACAACGAAAGTTTAACTGGAGTGGTACAATTAGGCTGGCTGGAGTTAAAGAAAATATTTTGTCTAAAAAGGCTTTTCGCAAACTTAGTTTTTGTTTAGCTCTGCAGAGTAAGTAATTTTATGTGAGTAACTAATGTGTAATGTGTATTTAAATCATCAGAAAAACTAATTTTAATTATTGTATATAGCAAAAACTTTTCCTATTAATTGTAATATTTATTACTATAAATATACAATTTATTTTGTCTAATTAGTGTCAATCTCGTCCCGCTGTGCATTTTAATATGTTTGTATTATAAGAAGAATCAATAAACATTTACCAACAAGATCAGTAACCGAAAGCGAGTTTCAGGTTTTTTACGAGGAGCTGCAGACAGGAATGGGGGAGAAAAATGAGAGCAGTTAATAGGAATACGCTTGAAAGAGATTCTTCTTCGAGTTAAAAATATAATTCTCAAGTAATGAGAAGTTTAAATAACAATTATATGTATCTAATTATATTTTTGATATCTAATAGTTTATGAATTTAATCTTTTGTCTTTAGGCGAAACAAAGCGGTTTATTTTCTTGCCTCTGTATTGAAAATAGCGAATATTAAATTATTTTTGATTATTACTTTACTAAATAATACTTTTATTTTATTAATTTAAATAAATTATTGCGTCCAAAAGTGGACCGAATGCAGCTTTGACCTCGCAAGCCGAAGGCGGCGTGCCTATACCTAACCAAAAGCGGGCCATTAGCGGCTTGATACTAAAATTTCAAAGAAAAGATAGTATTAATAGAACATAACCTGCTTTGAGCACATTAATTAATGTAATCCCAACAAAAAGAACAAATATATGGTGTGTGTGTATGAAATTTTGCAGGCCATTTCAACCGGGCTGTTGATGGACCTATGGTGGCTAGTCAGCAGCCAACCATTGTTAAACATACATCAGCTTGCCGTTAGCAGGCCAATGTTGCACCTATACCGGCTTATATCGGCTTGCCGTCTGCGGATCTTCAAATAACCGATGTGCAAGCCTACGAGGCAGTGTTGTGGTTTGCCGACGTCGGGCCAGCGTGTGCGCTGCAAGAGACCCAATAGCGGCCCGCATACATCTTGCTCACTGAGAAGTCTATAATATTTATAAAAATAATTACCCAATGATGTTTGAATATTTTAATTGAAGAAATTTCTTTAAAGCAGAGCCATTATTAGGCTGCCAAACGGCTTCTCTAACCCGGTAAGGGGGGAGGCAGCAAAGTTAGGGACCTTCTTCAAATTTTAGAAGGTCCTTTACTAAATTTGAGGATCTTTTTTTTTAGTAATACCTAATAATTGAAGCTTTTTAAAATTTTGGGGCCCGTATGACAGGTTTAAGGAAGTGCTCTGCCTCCTATGCTACTGCACTGATTAAAAGAAGAGAGATGTTTTAAAGGAAATATTTTTTGATAAAAAAGTTTTAACATAAAATAATTTTTTTTTCAAAACATTACTTTATTTTATTATAGAAAGAAATATAAAATCAGAAGTTTCAATTTTTAATTTTTTTTTAATCTTATTTTTGAAGTTTCACGTTTCTTATATGTTAAAATCAACCAATGAAAATTATGAGTTTATGTTGCCATACCGCTAGTAAATGTTTGCGTATATTTATAAGCACTTTAGAAGTTCGTAGTGTGATAAAGTTAGTGGTTTGATGTAGCTTTGATCATCAAAGCTACATACATAAATATCAACTACATCAAAGTTTGATGTAGTTGATATTTAATATACTTTATTTAACTTATTTATATTTCAATAAATTTTTGCTATATAACATTAACTATTTGAATTCTGTATTTGCTTTTTCTTTTGCTGCATTTGTATTTATTTACTATATAAATACATAATACAGTGGTTACTCTAGCTAGATTAAGGGCTTTTTTATAAAAGTATTATTTTAAACATGTAAGTTATGAGAGTCTTAATGGAGTTAGCTATATTTTTAAGTTCCATAAAAACTGAGTTCACGGTTTTTTAAGAAACTAAAAATTTAAAGACTAGAATTTTTCACGGAATTTTCAATTTGCGATCACTTAATTCGCCCCTCGATAAAAACTATTTTAACTATGATTAAAAAATCCAAAACCAGCTATTTTATACTCCAAAAAAACGATATCTTTAACATAATATAAATATTCTATTTATAAACTATAGATAAAAACATATATTGCATATTATTTATAGTACAAATAGCTAAAGAAAAAATCCAAATATTTAATCAACCTGTTTGAAAAATCTTTGAAAAGAGCCCTCAAAAAAGCGGCTCTTAATAGGACGTGGCCACTAATAGGTCAGCTTGCCTACGTGCATTATTTTATTCAACTTTATCATAGCATAATAATTTTGGTCTCGAAAAAAAAGTTTAATTTTAAAAATTAAAACTGTTTAATTTTAGTTGTCTCGATTGTGCATCAAAATGACGAACTTATTAGAATATTTTGAAGCACAACCAAAACATTAATTTTAAAGACAACAACCAAGACATAATTTAAAAGTTCAACCAAGAAGACAACATCTCTGCGGTTGCACTTTAACAACATTTCTGGAGATATTAGAATCAAAGTTATTACATTGCATGGCTAAGATTTTAAAATTACTAGTCCAGTCGCAAAACAAGTACAAAAAACAAATATATAGAATAGGATTATTTATCAACAGTATTTACAATTAGGTTTACGAATTTCTTTAACTCCATAAATTTCCGTTACTGAGGTAAGCCGTTACGAGGCGAGAAAAAAAAAAAAAAATTTTTTTTGACAACTAATTAATAGAACCTATAAAAATAAGAATTAAATATTATGTATTAATTTTTTTCAATATTTTTTTTGTGAAAAAGTTAAGAACCACAAGGAATCTTAAATTTTTCACAAGTGCTAAATGCGTTGGAAACGGCTTTTTTTAATTGATTTTTACCTTTTTCAATTAAATATTTTATTAATGACCTGAGTCTTACCAAAAAACTAAAAGTATTAAAAAAAAGTATTTAATTTCAAACAAAAAAAAACTCTCTTTTTTTGAAAAAATGAGTAGAAAAGCTATTACTTATGAAAATTGTGTAAAAGTAATGCATTATCACCAGGAAGGTAAAACCGCTCGTGAAATTGGAAGAATAATAAAACGATCACATAGTTCGGTGCTAACAATCATTAAAAGATTCAGAGAGATGAAATCTTACGTTGATCGCCATCGTTCTGGAAGACCGCGTTTGACGACACCCAATGATGATCATCTTTTAATCAGGTTGGCAAAGAAAAATCGACCTATGTCGTCGCATGAATTAAGAAGGGAATGGAAGCTTTCAAATGGATGTCAAGCATCGGCATCACTTGTGCGTAGAAAACTAATAGCTAACAATATGCTATGGAAAAAAGCTGTTCTAAAACCGAGACTTAACAAACAACATATAAAAAAGCGAAAAGAATTTTGCCAAAGTGTCAAAGAATGGTCTAAAGAAAAATGGAGGACAGTAATGTTCAGTGATGAGATGAATATCGAGGTTGATATTCATCTCATCACTGAATCGAAAAAACCGAATTATGATTCGCAGGCAGCCTTCCAAAAAATATAA